TTTAGTTTTTCTTCTGTTAGCCAAGTCTCAGAAATACATATAGCCTGGTATATAGGATTTTCTTGTAAAAGTGTTTCACCTATATGTTGCTTGTTGTATATGCTTTAAATATTTTGATATAAGATTTGAAATGGTTGTTCTGTATTATCGAAAGGAATCATTATCTTTTTCAATATTTTCAGTTAAATTGTGATTTTGCTTTGGTATTGTTTCTTCTTCGACTTTATTCCTTAGCGAATTTGTAGTATCATTTGGGAGACTGTCGTCATTTACATTAACTCTTCTTCCTTCGACGAATAATTGATTATATCCTATTACCGCGTGTAAGCCATTTTTTCGTGCCAAGAGCATTTCTTCTCGCATAGCCTTTCTTTTCTTTTGCGATGAACTGTATAAGAAGTCGCATATCGATAATCCAGTTCCATGTAAGTAGCTACTGTTATCTATTAAATATTTTACCGTCCTCTTGCTCATCAATTCAATCACAAGCGGTCGGTTCCTGTCTCTTTGATATCGGCCTATTCTATATGTTTCCTCTATGTATCCGCTTAAGTCTACATTTAACAAATCTTGGAATATTCTTTGAATCCTATCATATAAGTCACATTCGGGTTCTCTATAATATTCTTCTAAGCCATAAAGTACGAATTTCTTACGGTCGGTTTCAGATTTTTTCTTGTTTTCACTAATGGGTATGGTTTTCGTTTCTATATTTTTAATTTCTTTCTTCAGTAAATCGTTTTCTTTCCGGAGTCTGAGTTAAATAATCTGTGTCCTTTTTAATTTCCCCTTTTAATACCTTCATTGCTTCCTGTATTTCTGTCTGTATTGTGATCCGCAGCTGAGTTATAATATTCTTGTTATTTTCGTGGAGTCTTTGTACTATCATTTCACTTATATTTTGTAAAGTTAATTCAGTCTGGCTGCCAGATGATAGACAATTTGTTTCAGGATAAATGGTATCACCCAGAACAGATGTGTCGCTAGAATTCAACGTATCTTGGTTCTGTTGTGGTGCCACATATTTCCTAAGTGTTACATTATCTATTGCTTGTTGTTTGCACTGGCGCTCGGTTATATTTTGGTCTAAAGGCGTAACCGGTGTATTCAGATTTCCGGTTTTTGGGATCTTGCAGTAGCAAGCTTGACACCGCCATTTTTCTTTATGCTCTGGTGTCATTGTGTTATGAAAGCGCTGACTAGAAACATTGGCGCATTCTAGGTCATATACACAGTGACAATATGCGCATGTAAGATTTTCCCTTTTGGGAAGTTTTTTATGGCATCCAGCACACAATGAAAACATTTTATAATATTGCTATGTCTCAATTAGCCTTTACTCAGTAATCAAAATCACTGCAATTGTATGTCTCGCCGGTTGCAATTTACCCCAAAAAGATTTGTATTTATTTCAAATGGCAACACCGATGAAATGTCTGTTTCAAATTTATAATTGTCAATTGATTTTGACAAATAAAATTATTCGGTATCTGAAGGTACTTGGTTTCCAATAAATGACAGTAGAATAAAAGTGGTTATAGAAATTCTCACTTATCTTAGGTGTTTTCTCAGTGGTCTTCTTAGTATTCACTGCTAAATTTCATTAGTTTGTAGAATAATTAATGAACACCAAGTATACACCAATCACAAAACAATTCTTGCAGCTTAACTAATTTCGCGGTCAACTCAGACACGTCCGTATCACAGGGGCGCCCCTCTCCTCCCCCTTTTCATGTGGGCAGACATACAAACCATATTTGTGTTGCAAAAACGAGCGATTCGTTCTGTGTACCGTTTAGGTTCTTGGGTTTCTCTCAGAGAAAAGTTTAAGGAGACTGGTATCATGACTGTGGCATCACATTACATTTACTCAAATATTTTGTATATTCTAATGTTAAGAAAGAAGATATCCATAATATTAACCTTAGAAGAAAGTCCAAACTCAAGGTACCACGATTTCGTTTAAATAAGGTAAACGATTCTTTTATGGGGAACTGTATACGTTTTTACAATAAGATTCCGGAGCATATATTAAGTTTATCATTTCCTAAGCTTAAACTTACATTAAAAGTATTTTAATTGAAAAGTCATATTACAAAATTGAAGAGTATGTTTTAGATAATGAAGCATGGAAAGACAACAAGAGTCTAGATTCCACACAATTATGATTCAAAGTGTATTCCGTAGCATTTAAGTTTGTCTGAAAAGAGCAATCCCTAGAGTTTCTTGCTCGTTCCTGTCAGGGAGGTCAGCGTAGTGAACGAACAGTAGCTTAAAAAATTACGTTTTCAAGTGTAAACCTTTTATCTATGATAAAATTGATATGATAATGATTATCTGACTTTGACTTCGAGAACACTCAGACCAGAACCAATACAGAAAAGTTTATTTCCCAATTTTATCCCGAATCGAACCCAGGACCTCCTCATCCAACGCCTATAGTATAGATCGTTACCGACAGGCACATGGGACTTGTCAACTTATGTCTCAGGCTAACGGGTGCAGTAGCAGTGCCCTTCAAATCTTTGCGATTTAAAGCTCTGATTGGAACTGCAACTGTTATGGATAGGCATGTCCCTGACCACCAGGCGCAAACTTAGGTACCTACAGATTAAACCATTATTATATATTGATTTCGTGATTTCAGGGTTAAGTGACATATCCTTAAAGATTTGGCCAAACGATACCATTTTAGAGTACAATGTTGGAGACACTATCAATTTCTCTTGTCAAGTAGAAAACGTCTCCAAAGTGCCACAGCTTTACGAAATTAAGGGTAAGATACACATGATGCATTTTCGTTTATCACGTACCAATTCACACAATCCTTACAATTTTGCATAAAAAGATAGATAAATGTCTTTATTCACCACCATGACAAATACATACACAAACACATGATACAGACATTAACTTAGACGTAACATAGTAATATATTCTACTAGTATCTCTCTTGGAAGCCATGGCAATGAAAAGGCGCTGACTCAGCATAAATGACGCGGCTGCCCGCGACGCTGGTATTCTGCCAGGACCCTATAGGGACAGGGACGCCACTCGTAAAAACCCAAACCAAAACCAATTTAATTCAATTCAAATTCTAACCAATTCAATTTAACTCAATTCAATCCAATTGAATTTCATTCAATTTATTTATTTATTTATTTTTTCTCAAACAGCTTAGCCACTCATATTACCAATTTTTTGTGTTGAATAATAATGTACCATATATATAACAATATCACAAAATGTTACTTAACAGGTACAATATTCTACAGTCTCCCAATTGTTTCACTCTCGCCGTGAATAGGGTCATTAATATATTGATCCGGTCTGTTTATGATACGAAATGACGGGATGAACAATAGTGCACCTGGTGGTGAGCGACATATTTTATTTTATTTTTATTTTATTTTATTTATTTTAGGAAGGTTTACAGCTTAAACAATGATATATAACACAAAATAACAACGGAAAGCCTATTACAAACCTTCACAATTGAATATCTACATTACAACTTAATCAATACTAGTGCTAAACCTACAAACATTTATAAGCAAAAGTTATCATAATACAAATATCACACATATATATTTAGTAGTATATAAACATTACACATATTCAATATATTATATAGCTCGCCACACACCCGTCTGCAAAAAAGATAACCAAAAGGGTCTCTAACGAGATCTGAATGAATTAAAATTTGCAAATTTAAAATCAGTTCAATAATTGAATGAATCTTTTGATTCAATTAGCATTGATTTACGCTCACCACTAGTGACCATAAATTATCCAAACTATTGTCAAATTATAACCTCACTTTCCGTCAAAGATTTTTCTATTACGTTTTTATCTGTCCATAACAGCTGCAGTGCCCTTCAGAGCGTCGTATCGCAAAGATTGCAGAGGCACTGCATCTGCGCCCGTCAGTTAAGACTTAAGAGTCTATACTAACTCAAATGGCTTTGTTTGATTCCGCATTGAACAGTGAAAGTGGTGAACCAATCACTTTGGAAAAAATGTACACTAAAATTGAGTATATACACTGTTTACTGTACGGTGTAAAACACGATTCCTACAAATTTTCACGATAGTAAAAACACAAAGTTCTCTCGAAACTTTGCAAGAAAACCGTTGTATCCAATAGGTGCTTTACACATACCAATGATTATTTTTTTATATCAACTGAACTAAATAAGACCCAAATCTTAGAATAATAACGCATAGAAACCTAGTCCGCACACGGTAAGTGAGGCAAATTGAAGCGCGCCAAAAGGGCCTACACGAGCGGGCGGGCCTTCAGTGCTCAAGGTCAACTTGCACCGCGAACAGCTCCAGAATTTTAGCTAAAAATGACGAAATGTGCGGTAAATGAGTGTAAAAATACGTCAGACAAACATAAAATAGATACTAACATCACATTCCACAAGGAAGTAACGCGTTTCGACTTGTATTTTTATATAAATATTCACTAAAACCAAAAATTAACCTACTACTAAAACTAGCCTACATGAATTCGATTTTTGCCTCACTTGTGACAGTTCGTTTGATATGAAACTATCATTCTATGCGTTATTATTCTAAAACCCAAATACTATACGATATACAAATGGCTTTAATTGGCCAGTGTCCCTGCTGCGCGACCCAAGCTAAATAAACCATATTGGTATAGGAAAAAATTGAGTTTGAACTAAGGTAGTATAGATTGACTTGAAAAGTCCAACGTGTCTGTTATTTTACCAGCATCCTTCCCCTTCAAAACCGGAAAGCAGTAATTCATTGGACGAGCTCTTTCACAAGGAACTCTATTGCTAATAAATATTTTCTAATCTAATTTTATTTTATAATATTACAGATAACTACCTTCGACAGTTAAACGTGTCAGTTATGACCCCTGAGCGAAAGATAAATTATACAAAAAAAATGGAATTATCAGACAACGAATCTATGATATATTGTCTATGTTTTCGAAATTCAAACAAAAAAGTACGCTTCCCGCCAAGTGTAATATCAGATGTGCTTGAAATCAAGATACATATGTCCAAGGAAGAATCTATTTCAATAAATAAAGGAAGTACGTATTTCTTATAATTATAATACAAAGATCGAACGCTTACAAAAAATTCCTTCAATCCGGGCGGATTCGAACCGACGTCTTCTAGCAAACTGTGCTAGATGCTATACCAACTAAACCACGGAGGGAACCAGCGGACCTCACGAATATTTCTATGTGCTTGTTGTCGGACCTTTGTATTTCATTTTTCAGCGACTTTTTAGCCATAGCGCCATCTATGTGAAATCTATGAAAGTATTTCGTCACCCAGTTAGGTAACTTTACAGCTATCTGCCCTGGCTAGAGACGTCGATGTAGGAATTTATTCTAAGTGTTCGTTATCTCTGTATGAATAATTATAGCTATTAATAATAATAAATTTATATAAAGACTATAAAATCAATAAATGAAATAAATAAATAACAAACTAATGACTAGTAATTTCATAAAAAATAATTGAATATCATTTCAATACAAATTTAAAAGAGTATTTCGTTAAGTATTCCACAACTCATTTATTTGTGACAACAACTACAGGTTTACCTACTATGTGCGAGTATTTTTTTTAACATTAACTGCCTAACATGCTGGTCTGCCACGCAGAAGTCCTGGGTTCGATTCCTGAGCCGAGAGAAATATTTATATGGCCTACATTTTTTCTCTCGCAAGTTTGGGCATAATTTGTGCTTGTCGATATGAGCCCATGGCGCCCGCGACACGTGGTTACCCTAGTGCGGGGCCATGAGTGTGTAAAATAAGTAACAAGACATTTAGACAAGAGGTTTAAGGTAATTTAACCAACTTTTCATATTCTCCCTACATTTACTAGTCTATCTTTTTTGAAGATGGAGTAAAGTGACATTTCGTCGCCTGAGAAATCAAACTCGTATCTTAAAGCTTAAAAAGTTACTGAAATGCAAAAATGGATTGTATATATACATATTGCAGGCTGACTTCACATTAAATTTTCCATCATATTCACACACCGGCTTTAAGCTTTTCTTAAAGTAATGTATCCAAATTAACACACTTGATAAGAAATTTATAATAAATAAAAAGTTTTGTCATCTCCTCCTCCACAATCACTCTTTCTAGGATACGAGATTGACAAAGTAAGGCGTCGATTTGCAAGGTTGCCAGTTTTTATAAAATTTTAAACAGTCATGTACATAGTTGTTGTCGACCGTTAGATCGTTAAATTGTGAAATAAGATGAAATTTTGTCAAAAAAGTCTGATTTGCGAATGTTACGACGTTCTAATGACTACAAATTATTGCCTTCATTATTCTTACTATATCAGATGTTCTACTACCATCGAAATATCTTTTTTATTCTTTTATATTTTAACGAGAATTAAAATTAAAAGACGTTGAAAATGTCTTCTTTTTGTATTTTTGCCGTCTGTTTCTTGTTAAAATGTTGATTTGGATACTAGTAGGCATAATGTTAAAATAAGAATGAAGAAGGATAACGTATAATCGTTAGAGCGTCGTAACATTCATAATTCAAACTTTTTTGTAAAAATTTTACCTTCTTTCACACAATTTATCGATAAAACTGTCGCCAACAACTACGTCACTATTTAAACTTTTATGAAAGCCAACACAACAATAGTTATTTGTTATACAAAGCTGCACCGTGCAGACCCGTGTGTACGTGTCCGTGTATTCCAAAAATATTCTGTATTAATTGTAATAAAGATAATATCACTAACAATGCCGTGCTGTTCCATTCGGTGGTGTGGGAAAAACAGCAAAACATCTAATTACAAAACAAACGGAATCACATTTCATCGGTAATTAAATATTAAATATGTAATTTTGCAATTTTCGTCCATTATAGCAAAGCTCAAGTTAACTGGTGGATTTGAAGTGAAACAGTTGACGACATCCATTGACGGCACCAGTCAATTTCTTCGAACTCGGGCTAGCCAATCGGAGCGCAGTTGTCACAGTAAAGGTACGGCACATTGACTAAAAAATAAATGGACGACGGGTCTAATACAAAAACCACGAAAAAAATGACCCAAGTCAACCTATTTAAACGTAGTGACATGTAAAGGAATATGAAAAAGCTAAAACGTTGAATTTAAATTGTAATGTCATCGCAGTACTGTCTAATTTTGCTTGCTTCGCTGTCAGTCGAACCAAAGAAGACTAAAGCGTGAATGACGCTCTGTATACGATTTTAACGCCCTATAAGTTCGGACACTTTTTAGCGCGGACCCGACGTCCATATAATTGTAAGTCAATGATATGGCTGAATAGTTTTCAAACAAATTAAATAACATTTCGTCTCTATTTCTGGTTATATACCCGATTACCACAGTCCATCATCAAGTTCAAATTTCAAAAACCTTGTCCACGCCAGAGCGTGCAAATACGCTTTTGTGCGCGGATTTCTAATAAGAAAGAAAGCCTTTCCGAGCTATTGGGGTGAAAATGTCATTTTACTCTGACTTTAAAAAGATTAGTAATATAACTGTTAGTATTTTACAAGTAACCAGTATATTTTATTTCAGGATGTAAAGCAAATGCCGCGCCTCCCAAAATAAATATCAAAACGAAGGAAATTTCAGCCAATGAGACTCGTGTTATGTGTACTTCATTAAACATAAGATCAGATCCAGTAATACATTTGTATGAAATACGAGGTTTGTATACTAAAAGTGCTATCAAGTAGTGATGCGACAGACTTCTGCTTATGCGGAAGTTCCGCACAGTTTTTCACATCTTTTTCCGCATCTTCTATAACGAAACTTTACAAATTTCGGGACGGATTTTTGGAGAGACATTTTTCATTTTTCCACTATAATTGATAATAAAAGACGTTGAATTTTGAACACGGCTTAGTAGGTATTTCTTCTTGTGTGTTTCCATTCCATTTGCCTTTTATATCTTGATCCTTCTTCCAGAAACTTTTCCATAACGTTGTCGTGTCATTGCTCATTTCCGTTTAACAATCGGTAATTTTCGAGTTCTTAGGTTTTCGCTATTGTTACACATAGGAAGTGAAACTATTTTTCCGGATTTAAATTGCGTATATTTGTTTTTTCAAACAAACCGACGTTTCGGGACCTTTACAGGTCCCATGGTCACGGTTGACTGACAACCTGAAAAAACAAATATACGTGATTTAAATCCGGAAAAATAGTTTCATTTCCAATCGGTAAATTGTTCAGGTACAACGAACCCATGACACATAATCCAGTAACCTAATTAAATTTGAAAACTTTTAGCACCCTTTCACTTCAAATTACAGCAATATTTTTTTCCGCTATACAGGGTTTTTCTGTGGTTTTCCTAGTGCGGAAATATGACTGTATGTGTGTTGTTATTATTGTATGGGCTTTGACGTCTTGATTGTAGGTAGTTAAGTTAGTTGTAGTTAGTTAAGTTATAGAGTTGACGTACAATCGTAAAGTTTATTTTTGTTTAAATACAAGTTATTATATGGATGCTTATGTGACCGATTGCGACAGAATTATTAAATCAAATAAACTATAATAAAAAGTGAATCAGTCGATTCACGTAAAGTAGGGCGCAAACTCAGCGTCTATATCTTGTAGGATACCCGTACAATTATTACTATGTTCTTCTTTATTTTTAACGACTTCAAAATAGGAGGAGTTTCTCAATTCGACTGCGATGATTCTTTTTTCTTGGAAAGAGGCTACCTCAGTATTGGTCCCATTTAAATTTGAAGAAAATATTCCAGAAATACGTAAGGTGGCAGTGCTACCCTGGACTAACTCTTTCACAAGATGCTCTACTGTTACTAGATTCCTCAGAGTCGACGGCTTAGCAGTGGCAACCGCTGGTTGTGCAATGCGCAACGGGAAGTGAGTGTGCCTACAGCTCCGGTAGGTACCTATCTGGAAAATAGGGAGGGTACTGTACGTGCACCCGAGGCGGCTGACCCGAGGCACTAGCCTCTCGAAGAACCGGATGAAGTCAAGTGACAGAGGTCTGTGAGAACCCTGTACACTTACTGATCTGGGGTCAGAACCAGAAATTATAAGGTTCCTGTGCGCGCACAGGTTATAGTGCTTTCTCAGGTAGGGAGGGTCACTATAATCAAAACTAACGTAGCTTGTTACTAAACTCTTTCCTCAAAAGCTCTAGTTGTACAATTTGCCGTATTCCATCGCGAACTAAAAGGTTTGGTGGTACCTTTCTCTATTGCATTGTCGACAAATCCGAATTTCTCCCCACCGGACACAGTATAATAAGTTTTTATCTCTATGTTTTACCATGTATTACCAATTCGACTGTATGTTTTTTTTTGTATGTATGTTACGCGATAACTCCGGTATTTGTGAACCGATTTTCATGATTCTTTTTTTGTTGGAAAGGGGCTACTTCCATAGTGGTCCCATAACATTTTGAAGGAAATCATCCACCTCTAAGGGTGGCTGTTCACGCATGAAGATTCATTTTTATAAATAGCGCCTAAATTTTCTTAAGGAGCAATTATTTTAATGGTTGATTTGCTATTTCTCCAATTCAAGGCGTTTTTCTCTGAATATTCTTTGAGAGTAGTGAGAACCGATTTTTATTATCTCCAGTGTCAAGTCCTGTATAGTGGCGAATTTAAGGATATTTCAATAAAACTTAGCAAATAGACGTAATTCCACGTACTTTTGATATCGGTTTTTTTAGTACTCTGTACTGAGATTATAGAAATCTTTGCCCATATTATATGTGCATATTTTGTAGTATAAATTGCATAATTTTATCTGATCCCTAATTATTACAGTAACGCTCGCATTACTGCTTCGCAGCAGAAATAGGTATGGCGGCAGTACTGTCTTATACGAGGACTTTTAACGGCACTTTTAAGACTATGTTATTGTCATCATCCTCATCCACCACGATACTGTGCTAGTCTCACCCATCCACTGCACGCATCGAGTATATAACTAGAAATAGAGACGAAATACGCCATCCATCCCTGGCAACTCATCAGGCAAATAGACCTTATATCACTTTTAAATATCAAGTCTCGTTTGCGCTGAAATCACAAATTAGAAAGCTGAAATAGTACAGCGCCAACAACTGACCTGTGTGTACGTCTCCGTGTATTCCAAAAATATTCTGTATTTATTGTAATAAAGATAATATCTCTAACAATGGGGAGAAAGTTCTATTCGGTGGTGTGGGAAAAACAGGAAAACATCTAATTACAAAACAAACGGAATCAATTTAATCGGTAATTAAATATTAAATATGTAATTTTCAATTATCGCCATTATAGCAAAGCTCAAATTAAACTTTGAAGTGAAACAATTGACTGAATTCGGGCTGGCCAATCGGAGCGCAGTTGTCACCGTAATGATTGGGCAGAATAGTTTTCACACAAATTAAACGACATTTCGTCTCTATTTCTGGTTATAGGTATACTCGATGATGGCTGCACGCAACTTTGACAATATCGTCCACCCATTTCGTTACAGGACGTCACACACTTGTACAACCATTTCTTGGTCACCATTCGGTTATCGCCTTACTCCATCTGTCTTGTATTTGTATTTATTTATTGTCACATGTACATGGTCAGGTGTTACAAATGTGTTACATTACGACTAGAGTGTAGTAACCCTGAATAGGGCACTGCAAGTGAAGAAATTGAATACAATTTAAGAAAATGTAATGAAACAACATAAAAAATTAAAAATTTTAGAATAGGAATTGTCTTCGCCACGTCTTGAAATATGTCCTGCTCAGCTCCATTTTAAATTCGTTTCCCGATCTCCAATGCACTGGACCTTAGTTCGTCTTCGGATTTCGGAATTCTGAATCGATAAGTTTCATGCCGAGCGTAACTCGCTCCATGGTTCTTTGTGCAACTCGTCTGTACACAGCCTTCTGTGTGAGCGTCCACGTCTTGGCACCCCTTGTTCACACGGCATTGTACTCCACGATTTTTTGCAGTATAAATCTTATCGAATAAGTGGCGCGTACATTAAATATAGAACCGTTCACACGGTGTTTGTTCTGCAAAAAGCAGCTCTATATGTTTATCGAATACGCAACGGACTTGTCAAGCACATCGAATGAATTTTAACGTACTCGGTGTGCTGTGGCGCATAATATTATTGCATCTCTTTCACACAGCGCGAAGTCATACGTTTTTTATCGAATAGTCACCGAACAAGCGGCGTCTTGTATTGAAGTATCTTTAGGACGGAGGGCACGAATAAATTTATTAATACAAATAATAAAATAATAGAATCTACTGTGGACAACGTTTTATTGATATCTTTAGTGTTACAAAGCTCGTTCTTTTTCATCATTTCTCATTTTCGTACAATTTTTCAAATGTGTTTGTACGCACTGCTTATGAACCCAATACCTTCTGTTCTTCCGGCGGTAAAGCTGTTGCGTCTTCTATGACAATATAAAAGTGCAACAAAGCGTGGATTCGTCACGGACGTGGTCTCAGCGCGATTGCTGTGTGAATTCTGCGGCTATACGTCCTTTAAACGTATGAAAATATATCGTGTGGACACCCCGCTGTCTATCCGTTTATAACGAAGGCTTAAGTTATAGTGGGCAAGACACTTTGGTTGAATAAGCGGACCTTCAAACACTGCGAACTCAGGATCTATTTTTACATGCTGTTGTACATCATAATTAGGTACGTATTTTATGGTTTTTCAGGCAAAGAATTGTACGTAACGACAGAACAAAGCATTACAGGTACCGCAAATTTTACAGTAAAAACGAACGTTACTGGCAAAGTATTGACTATATTTTGTGGAGCAAGACCAAATAATGAAACATATACCGAATTCATAATTTCTGAGCTCGTCAAATTAAGGAGGTCTAACGTGAGCATCAACCAACAATCAACCAACAAAAATCAAACCATAAGTGGTACAACTAATTCACCTGAAAATAATGAACAATCTAATGCTGAAAACAATGAACAATCTATTAGTAAGTATGTTCATCTTTGTAGAATAGTGTATATTCGATTCTTTTTGTGATACCAAGTTATGGGACGAACAAATCTTGCACCTAGTGGTAAGGGACACGCCTGATCGAGACAGTTGTAATACTACTCATAGCTTTAAATCACAAAAATCTGAGGGGCACTGCCACTGCACCCGTCACACTGAGACGTAAGTTGACAAGTCCCACGTAATTTCACCAGAACCCTTACCCTTCAAAACTGGAACACAGGAATTTTCACAGCGGCTTGGCGGCAGTAATGTTAGGTAAGGTTAAGCAGTACTTCCCAGGACGAATTCTTTCACAAGGAGCTCTAGTGCCACTAAAAAAAATCTGTATGTGTATGGCATCTAGAAAGAAAGACAGAAGAAGACCTAGACAAAATTATTTTCAGAGATCAGATAAGGAAATAATCTCAGTACAGAGTACTAAAAAACCGACCTCAATCATCCCTTATTTCGCCACCCTGAGAGGTGGAATATTTTCTTCAAATTTAAATGGGACAGCTACAGAGATACCCTCCGCACACAGATGGTTTTCATGCCATTATTCTCAAGAGGGCTGCCTCACTCATGATGCGTGTGCTTGGCAGCGCTAATGGCACCCTAGCCATTATTGCCAACAGGCTGGACTGCCCTTACCAACTACTTTGGGTGGAACTACATGTGCGTAGTGTAGTGGCCTAGACATGGCATAGCACGTAAGAAAAATTCACTAATTAGATTAGATCTAAAAAAGTGCTATTCCTAATTTGATTTTTCTTTTTCAGTTGGTGTCATCGCAGGTGCTAGCATAGGATCTTTGTTATTAATTCTAGTAATTATATTATTTATTTGCAAGATTCGCTCGAATGGACAAATACCAGATGTAAGTTTATGCACAGTAACCACTTCGTGTTATCGTATCGATGGCAAACATGCTTGTCATCTTGGTGAAAGAATTGCCAATCGACTTAAGTTACTTGTCGATATTGGCCCAGGGCGCGAAAGGAATGGTATATCTTGCGGCTTCTTTCGTGCACCCCACAGAACGACTGAATCTATGTCAAAGTCAAATAGGAAAAATAAATCTACACTTGGAAGCGTCTCTCTTAAGCTGCTGCTCGTCCACTGTGCTGAGAAGTCACCACAAAGTTCTTTGTTCTTCTTACTGAAGGCAGTTATTATTATTTCCACAATGGCGGCCGCTAGGCTTGGACAGTCAGTTTCGAAGAGTGCAGGCAGATAATATAGATCAAAAATGCCAACGTTAAGGCAGACGGAAGGTATTTATTTTTGTAAGAGTTTCTTCGACCAACCGTTCAACCATTGGGCTAAACAGAAAAAAAAACAAAAGGTTGGTGTAAAAGTATAAAATAAACATAATACAGCATAAACATACTTAATATTCTTATATAATAGACAATATATACATAATAAATATACTTAATATATATTATAAGAAGTACACAGTAAACATAATATTACATAATAATATAAAAGTAGGTACTCACAGCAATATTATGCAGAGTCTGATCTAGAAAGATCAAAAAGATAATTGCGCTATATGCGCTTGAAAGATAACTTGGTCTGAGCTTGTCATATTTAGCGGGAGCGCGTTCCAAAGACGGATTGCACGAAGGGCGAAAGCATTAGATACAAAACCAGTACGGTGAGAAAGAATAGAGAGCTTGAGGCTACGGGAAGATCGAATTACGCAACCCGGCCGAGCGGTTTTCATATTGAAATGAGCATCCAAGGTAATCATCGGATCGAACAAAATGGAGAAAAGAGTGGTTAAAATTGTTAAGGCTCTGAACATTCATGGATAAATAACCTAACCTCAATACAGAGTACTAAATAACCCGACCTCAAAAGTACGTGGAAGTACATATAATTACCAAGTACATATAATTACTTGGAATTTTTCAAGGCGAGAGTGGATAAGCTTTATTTAGGTGTGCTACATCGTCGACCTCATTGTCACTTTCCAAATGCGCACTTATTTTTTATAAAAAAAACTGTCTTTTTAATATTTACTTATTTCGTTTCAGGCTTGCGCCCCCAAAGTGTATTATAAAACCGTTAAGTACTCAGGAAATGGAACTCCGGACGCGCAAATTGATGGTGTTTCAAAACCTAAAGAGAATTGCACTTCCGAGGTGCATTACGCTGAAATTTGTGTATCAAATTCGATTACAGCATCTTTACCTCCAAGAGACGAAACTACGTACGCAAAAATTATTGGTATTTTGAAGCCTAAAGAGCGGAAAGTATAAACGTAAATACACCGTTCAGTAAAGTCTAAGAAATATATAAATAAATAAAGGGTCTTCCAATAAGAGGTTTTATTTTGATATGTAAAAAATGAGTATTTTTAAGCGCTATCATCGGATGTTTATTTAATTGTAAAGAGGAGGGTATGCCATTAGATGGAAAACAATATCAGTCAAATGACCGCCACGGCTGCGCTTGCAGGACCATATTCTTTTCATGAAATTTTCCATCACCAATTCTTACATTTGTGGCTGCATGTCCTCGATTACTTCACGAATTCCACTTTGAGGTCTTGAATCGATTGTGTGCCATTGGTATAGACCTTATCTTTCACGTAGCCCCAAAGAAAAGAAGCCCCAAGTTAAATCGCAAGATCTCGGTGGCCAATTATGATTGGCTCTTCAGGAAAATTTTTACCCAAAAGAGCTATGTTACTGATGGTGGTGCAAGTGTTATCGGGACAAAGGAATTTTTGTTTGTGTTCGTGTTAGTTGATTATTTAAAATATTGATTGGGATTCTAATTAAAAGAGCTTTAGCATTCTGGACTGTTATTATAATTTAAACTTTACCCTGTTGGCATACCGTTCAAAGTTCAACACTTATCACTGCAAGTTACGGCGACGACAACGGACGGCGACGAACGATTAGCGAGTAGTGAGGAAAATTCGAAATGTTTACTTAGTTCTCCAAAAAGGAGGGACCATATTGCAGCAGTTGAAACGGACTGCATGCTCGTAATTTCTTCAAACAAACAAATGTATCAAAGCGCTGAGGTGTGTAGGCGCGGGGAGCGAGCTGATTAGCCTGTTCAAGGTCACGCCATGTCAAAAATGTCACAAGTAGGGGTGGGAAGTGGTTTTTACGTGTAAAAAAATATTGGGGATTTACATTAAATTTGCAACCGTGATAGCTAAGGTGCTGGACGGTTTGCTTGATCGCATATTTGAAAAGCATGTGCATCTGCACGAGGCACAGTTCGGTTTCAGGCTAGGGCTGTCCACTGAAACAGCAATTCTGCGATTTAAGCATACCGTTCAGTACTACGCTACTCGAGGAACACCAATCTATGCCTGTTTTTTGGACTTGTCGAAGGCATTTGACCTTGTGTCCTACAACGTTTTATGGGATAAGCTTTTGAGGGAGACTAGCGCACCGCGTGAGCTTATAAGGTTAACTAAGTTCTGGTATGAGCACCAAACTAATAAGGTTCGATAGGCTGGTTCATACTCAAAAGAGTACAGGTTGGAGTGCGGGGTGAGGCAGGGCGGGCTGACTTCTCCACGTTTCTTCAACTTGTATGTAAATGGGCTGATTGATGAGCTCAGCAAGGCCGGCGTGGGTTGCTCAATAGACGGGAGTTTTATGAACAACATCAGCTACGCAGATGATATGGTTCTGCTGAGCCCATCAGTCAGAGCCCTTGAGGTCCTAATTGGATCCTAATTTGTGAGGGGTACGCGGTGTCCCACGGCCTTAGATATAACAGTAAAAAAAGTGAGCTACTCGTCTTTAAGGCAGGAAACAAATCGCCAAAGTCTGTTCCTCCAGTTAAGCTTGGAGGGACAGTATTGAGTAGAGTCGACAAGTTTAAATATCTGGGGCATTGGGTCAACGTGGACCTCTCTGATGACCTGGACGTAGAGAGGGAGCGTAGGGCATTGTCGGTGAGAAGCAACATGTTGGCGCGCAGGTTTGCACGATGTAATAAGGAAGTAAAAACAACCTTATTCAAGGCATACTGCCAAACTTTTTACACGTGCAGCCTGTGGGCCAAATGTACTCGCAAATCGCTTGATGCCCTACGCGTACAGTACAATAATGGTTGTAGGATGCTGCTGGGGTTGCCCCGGTTCTGCAGCGCATCTGGTATGTTTGCCGAGGCGCGTGTGGATAGTTTTCAGACTATCCTACGCAAACGAGTAGCCTCGGTGATGAAGCGCGTACGGGATAGCGGCAGCGGTCTCCTAAATACCATTTTGGAGCGGGTAGATTGCCCCATAGTAAGTCACTGGAATGCGTGTCATATGCACTCTAATGTTGCCATTTATAATGTTAAATATAATTTGTTCTAACATAGTTTTAAGATAATTGTTACTAACCAGCTATGAACTTTGTTTGAAATAAATGATTATTATTATTATTATTATTATTATTATTATTAAATTACAATAAAAGAAAACACCGAATATTTTTATCGAGATTGGTTGTTATAAAAAAATTACGTAAATTGCAAGAACAATGCGATTTTTGCAAAGCGGTTTACAACAGCGACTCGCGGGGCTACGCGCGGGGCTACGCGCGTCTGGAACAAATGTACGGGCGAACGAAAGAGATGTCACGACCCAGAGCCCCAGAGCCAGAGCGGCGCAGACAGCGGCGACCGAGAGACGCACTCAGCGGGGCGGCCGCACAAATAAAATGTTTTAAAATATTTTGGACTGAAAAATGGTGTGTCCATTTTCCTTTGAAGCTTTTTTATTATATTATCTAGTGACGGAACGAACAAGCCGTGCACTTGATAGTAATCTACACACCTGTCCGTAACAGTCAGACAGAGACATAAGTTGACAATTACCATGTGCCCGTAATTTGACCAACACCCTTATCCTCTAAAATCGGAATACAGTAATGCTGACATTACGCTTCGCGGCAGAAATAGATATGGTTTTTTTTCGGGGGAAAATCTGTCATGGATATGTGAAACTCCTACTCACTAAAAACCCCCGGGTATTCCCACACCCCGCATGGGACAGAGCTGTGGCCACGTGGTTAACGATCGACCGCCCTGTTTTTCGCGGCTGCGGACCCAGCTCTGGGAGATTTTACTGTCCCCATTCCGTCGTTAGTGGCATGCCGGGAATACTTGGCATGCCAACCAACCCGTGAACCCTTATCACAGGGTTCACTGTCAGGGCGGCAGTTAGCGGCCAGCCGCCTGTGCTCTAAACGTTTGTGGCGTATAGGATGACAGGAAGGGACTTCCTCCCGCTCCCGCTCCGCGGCCTCCTTCCCCTGACAATACATCGGTGAAGGAGGCCACCGCTCTCCACGCCCTCTCGCTGTCGACTACGGCTCGTACCGCTGTCGGCAGGGAGCGGTCATGCCCTACCACTGCGGTCAAGGTTGACAGTTGCTCATCGAAGGCAGTACTACTCTGGACGAACTCTTTTACAAGGAGCTCTAATGCCACTCTTTATTAGGAAAATATTAAATAGGCCACCATTACAAATGTAACGTGTTGAAAAATGTAATCAAAAGTTTGTAAAGTCATTTTCGTATGTTCCTAAAACTTGTCAAAATATTTCCTGTATACCTACTATGTTGTTATTTTTATGTAATTGTCCTTCCTTCTATTGGATGATTCAAATAAATGACACTTATGTTTATTTCTTGTAGAACGTATTAAGTTCTTGAATTGAATAAATATTAATGCAAAGGTTGAACACAAGGAAACATTCCTTCGAGCCGACAGAACTTAAACCTGCAACCACACTGTACCGTGGTGACTCTCTGCCAACTGAGCTACAGGCCGATTAAACTTGTATTAATAATTATGACAAGTATTATAATAATATAACATATTAAGTTAAACCTAATCAAATTAAATTAAGTGAAATTTAATATTTTTTTCTTTTTTAACATTTAAGTTTTTTTTATAAAAATTATAAGCGCGCATTTGACCTCCATCTCACCTGATGGAATGTAACGATGAGGTCGACAATGGAGAATACACACCTAAATAATCCTGTTCACTCTCGCCTTGAAAAGGCCCAAGTTATAACGTTCAGGGAACAAGTCAGCAGGCAGATAATTCCACTGTATAGCACAGTCTCCGTGATATATCCAAAAGTGCAATTGTGAAAATTGTTGATAAGATCTTTCTATAAAGTACTAATAAATACTATTATTTTCACTTCCGCTTCCGCATCCGCGTCCGTTTCCATTTCCGCTAATATGTACTTTTGACATCTGTTTCTGTTTCCGTTATAACACTTCCGTTGCATCACTACTTGATAAATAGTACTGGAAATACTCGCCGTCAGTGTACTCGCCCGAGCTCGCTCGTATAAATCGGCGCGTATGACATCACGGGCCGTGGGAACGCACCCTTATGAAACCATATAAAATGGTCCATCAAACAATACTTTTCAGTATTTAACGGTATCACTTTTTATTTTCCCGATATTTCGGAACGGTTGCACGCTCCATGGTCACGGGTTGACTGGACGGCGGCAGATGACAGCTTTAAGAGCAGACATATCTGTCTACCCTCTTGCGCTGTCGACGACTACCTTCATCGCGATTTGTTGTGGCGTTACCATTGTCACTCACTTTTTTCACACAAACCACACTCACTATATCCATACGCGAAACTGAACTCGAGGTGTTTTTGTTTTTATTACTGCACGCACTAAGGACCGGATTCCATGCTGGACAGTTTAAAACCATCATGGTTAATTAACCAAAATAGGAAAAATGTTACGTTCACCAAAAGACCACCTTCCGTAAAGGAACACCGGGTGTCTATAAAGTGAACTGCAGTTGTGGGAGCTCGTATATGGGTCAGACTAAACGAACAATTGCCGATCGGCTTACGGCTTGGGATAACCTATCAGAAGTCAGAAAATACATTTGCCCGAAAAAACGTTAGCTCGAAATTTCATAACGTCAAATGTATTTTCTTATGAAGATTACGAAACTACTAAACTAATTTTGTATTTGTGAAAAGCATCAAAATTACTCGAAAGCGTAACGGTTTTATTGTAAATCGGTTTTCGAAATTACGGATATTTGAGTTTACGTTTTATCGGTACATTTCTTATAGTACACGCTTATTTTCACATTAGTAGTAATATTTCTATGTATGTATCTGCCCAACTCTTTATTATAACTTTAAGTAAATTTGTAAAAAATTCGACAATAATATAGATAAAAATTAATTCATATTTACGAGAAAGGCTACTCCAGTACTCTTGTGTTCAAGTAATTTTCAGTGGAAGCTAAATATGATGCATTTTGTTATGTTTCCAGTAGAAGCTGAATATGGTGTTT